TATATATATATATATATTATATGTCTCTTAATACTGCTTCACAATCTGAAAATTCATATTAAAAAAAAAAAAAAAATCATGTTTTGTCTTCTTGCTTAAAATTGTGAGGTTTTTACTTTCATTTACGTTTGAACATTTTGAAGGATAGGTTGCAATAACAGGGGCACATTACTTTTTTATATGTTGATCATGCTGAAAACATTCTTTAACGTTCGTTAGTTCTGGGTCACCATTTTATATGAAGAAATGCAACAAAGTGAATAATTACTTTTTATTTGATAAATATTTTTATTCATAAAATGATGCCCAAATATGATACCCTGCAGGAATGGTGCATACTGATTTTACAGAATTTCAAGATACATTGTATTCAACCTAAATCCATCTCTAGAAGACTTGTCTATGGAATTTTATGTATTACTTTACATGATGAATACATTATGTGTTTAAGAGGTAAAATAATACAGTTAAATAGGATTTTTGTTGGTTCTAATGGATAGTAGTTTCTGATGAATGTGTGAAAATGTTTTTTCATTCAGTTCTTATCATTTTAACATTTCACACAAGAAGTTAAAACATTGTCCTCTTTTTTATACATCTTGAAGGAAAATAATTCCTTTCTATCTTCATACCTGGGGTGCCGGAAAAGTGACTGATGACAAAACAAAGTAATTTCTGAAATAATTTTAATGGCAAGTATAACTGTAAGACAATTTATGAAAAATAAAATATTAATGCAAAGTGTAATATTGGATTGCTGAATTAACAATGAGTGATATCCTTAACTTTTCCGGACACCCCTGCCGACTTCACAAAGATTGTTCCCTGAGCCAACTGGCTCGTTGCAACACTTATTTCACAGACCTCACCCTCACGCCTGTTTCAAGTGTGGCTTGAAGCAGGACATAAGCCATGCTGTGTAAACACAGAATGTCACTGAGATGGCTATCACAGCATACATGAACACACTAAGCTCCGCTTGTCTAAAACGATTTTTCCTTAGCCATTCCAACACCTCTTCTTCAACCAAAAGATCTCCTACAGAAGAATAACAACAAAAGAAATTTTAAAAAATGTTTTCATCCTCACATTGAATGACATCATTTAAAGAAAATAAAGTAATGTAGAAGCATATAATAATTATTTTCTTTAAAAAGTATTTTTATGATTATTTGATGTATCTGATGAAATTTTTGTTGTGGAATGAAAAATTTAACTTGTATCTTCTGACATCGCTACTGTATTTTCTTTCATAAGAAATTATATCCTATATCATTTTTAGATTTGCTGTCTTCAAGTATTGATTTTGAAACTTCATAGCTTTTAGATTTTCTTTCTTTATGTCTTAATAAGAAATCAATGTTAACACATATCATGTTCAAAATTATGTTCAGTACTTATTTTGAATATATTATGTTCTGAAGAGAAATAATAATTGGAAAGTAATGAACAGAATTTCAATCTTTAAGTAGAAAACTTAAAAAAATAATTATTTTTACGTGAATTGCACATAACTTAAATTTTTAGGATGGAAAGTAAACACTTTTAAAACTCCCAAAATATACAAACTTTTCAAGTTATTATAAAACAATCTAATTTATTTTTCCATACATACTAATGTATAAACAAAAATTATTTAAAGTTTCTTTTACCTCTATATATACTTGGAAATCGTTTGCGAAAGTATACAATCGCAGGTAGCTTTGTGACACCCCATTTTCGTGCGTAGCGTGGATCAGCAATTTTAACCAGACTAATATCCAAATTATCAGTCTCACCATCAATTTTCTCTAATTCTTCCAACACAGTTTCACATTCTTCTGAATCTTCTTCATCTAAAAATGGAAAAGTGTAGTGGTAATGCAAGAAACATAAATGTTTTTAATTGTTAGAGTATAAGGATTTTCTTATACATACAGAAATATACAGCCAAAAATTCATTTTCATCAAGCAGTTTGTCCAGCATTTTACGGTTTACTTCTTCAATTTCATTCTTTATTTCAAAGATATCTTGAGAAGTTAACCATGTTAAAATCTTTTCTTCATCATTCAAATCTCCTAAAAATACAAGATTTCAATTTTTTATTACCACAACTTCAGAAAACAAAAAAAATTTGCATTAAAAAAATATCAGGTTTTTACCATCATACAAGAGAGGGACCCTCTTTCTGAAATACACTAATGCAGGAGAGTTCACAATGTTATATTTTGCAGCTGCATTAGGGTCATCAATTTTTACCATATCAACTCCTGGAAAGCAAAATATGAGGCAAATAACATTAATTTACAATAACAGCAGCAACATTAATAATAATAGTAATAATAATTATAATAGTAATAGTAAGAAAAGAAAAGAAAGCCTGTTTAGCAGTCGCACTATAAATTTTGAACTATGAAATACAGCAATTAAATATAAAACAATAGTTTTGGTGAGATATTTTATGAATAATGAAATTAAAATTTATGAATTTCTTTAATATGTAAATTTGAAGTGTACAAAAATAAGAAATTTATTAATTTTTCTATATTCAGAAGTGAAGCAAGAATTTACTTTGTAAGTTCTTAACAGTTCTTTTTTTCTTTCTTTAAGTGTCATCTCTCTCATTTGTTCATCATTTCTTTATGTCCAACCTAGAGTGAGATTGTCAAAATTTCATTTCAAAAGTCATACAGATATTCTTAAAGCATTTAACATTTTCATTTCAAGACTTTTTATCATGTTTATTTACCAATCAAGACCCCATTACCCAACAATGTCCATGAAACTCAATGGTTCATGTTCTAAGAAAGAATAGCATCCCTAAGCAAGTAGCAAAACAAGCCGTCGTCACTTGCTGATTCCCTAACTATGCTTCATGAAGTCACGGAGGTTAAACAATTCGAGACATCACAGGTTTTTGGTTGGATTACTATCTTGGATCCACAAGATCTATTGGTGCAGCCCCTGGCTGAAGGAGAAAAAAAGCAATGACTGGTAATGAGTGACTAGATTGAAAGATTGCTCCAAATGTTTGATACCATTAGTTAGCTCAAACAGAACATTGCTATAACAGAAATTTAAATTTAAAAAAATGTACAAAAAACTACTAGCCTCTGTTGCTGATCCTTTGTTAGAATAAAGCTTAATAATATAACTTAAAACTTTTCAAGCCATCTCTCTATTCTTGCCAATTAATCTCTTGCATATTTTCAAATATCAAGAATTTGTCAAACATGAAATGAAGACCAAATTCAATAGATTTTCTATGGCAACAATATGAAAATTATTTTCACTTTTAGTATTTTCTATCAATACACACCATATTGATCTGCTTCTCCATCAATCTGTTCCAGAGACTCGAGAATTTCTTCACATTCAGGACAATCTTCATCATCTGTAAACAATATTTTTGAATATACTTCTGCCCATCAATTACTTTATTTTTCATACAGAGAAAATTAGGTACATACAAAAAAATACTGCCAGAAATGGGGATTCATCAAGTAATCTTTCCAGCATTCGGTCATTAACTGCTTCAATCTCATCTGCCAACTCTCGATTGTCATCATCTATAAGCCATTCTAAAACAGACTCTTCATTTTGCAAATCACCTGGAAAAGTAAAATTAAGTAATACTAGAAATAGAAAAATTAGTAAAGTGAGATATTGTGTATATTCTATGTGCGAGTAACAGTTAGAAGTTCCTCTGTTAGTAGTGTGATTGCCTCTCTGACAATATAAATATTATTTTCCTTCAAATAAATTAAAAGAAATGTTTTCACCTTCATATAATAAAGGATTTCCATTTCTAAAATACACCATAGCTGGGAATGTCTTAATAGAGTAACGTTTTGCTAACTGAGGATCTTGAATCTTTACCAAATGAATGCCATAAACATCTAATTCATCATCAATATTCTCTAGATCTTCCAGAATATCTTCACAAATGTTGCAGTTATCTTTGTCTGAAACAGACAAAAATAAATATTACTACCAACAAAAATTTCATTTATTTATAAAACTCAATGTCTTATATTCATACAGAAATAAACTGCTAGATATTGAATATCTTCCACCATAGTCTCAAGCATTTGTCGTGTTATTAATTCAATTCTGTCTTCTGTTTTCTGTGTTATTAGCCACATGAGTACCTCTTCCTCTTGCATGAGGTTGCCTGCAATGAATAAATAAATTATGTTAAAAGATATTTTGAAAATCAAATTCAATTTTAAAATAATATAGATACAATTTTATTCACCTTCAAATACATTAGGAACTTCATCCTCAAAATATACCAGTGAAGGAAGGTCATTCACTCCATAACGTTCAGCAACTCTGAAGTCCTAAAATTAGGTTTATAAAATTGTTATACAATGTTTCACTAGAAACGTTTATAATCAGACCATCTTTTAATATGTTTTTAATTAAAATATAAAGAAATGCAAGTTCCTAGAAAGTTATTGTATAAAAATAGTAATTTGGGGCTTCATTACAATTTCATTTGAGAGAATTTTGAAGAAAATACAACTTGATGGAAATCAAGCTTTGACACCAATATACCATTAAATTCTTCAATTTATAGCATGTGTCTTCTAGTATTTGAATAGTTTGGCATAGAATTTATGATTCAATTTAGCTGAGCTACAATTTTTTGTATTATTTTCAAGAATGTATCTTACAAATTGAGAGTATCCCAATTTATTTAGTTAAGGAGATTCCAGAAAAGATATTGTTTCAAACATTACACATGAATAACAAACTATTAGAAAGTTAAATTCACTACTCTGGAGAACAGAAATATCAAGTTCTGCTAAGAAAATACTTTCTGTCTCTATCATACAAAGTTTAACACTGTATGGTTTCAGAAACTTGGGAATTAAGGAAAATAAAAAAAAATAATTAATTAGTCCACAAATGGATTTTTTGAGAAGAAATTGTGGAGAACCTAAAATGGAACTTATTGAAATTAAGAAATTATTAAGTGAATGCAGGTTCAAAAATCAATTATAGATGATTTGGAATCCAAAGGCTGAAGTGGATTGTCCTTTGGTCATGTGAAAGTCTTGATTGTGGGAAGTGGCCTAGGAAGGTTTGTGAGCTGTTTAATTTAGACAAAAGGAAAAGAGGTAGACCCAGAGAAGAATCGCAGAATGTTTGTAAAGAAATGCAAAGAAGAGGTCTACAAGAGGATAGCTGGAATGATAGAAGGTAACGAAGATTGGGATGCAAGAAACGGTCGCAAGAGCTGTAAAATACTCGCAAGAAAAAAAAGAAGAAGGAGTATTCTTAAACAGTACCTGTGTTTTCACAAATTTTATTCCATGACGATCACAATCATCATCTATGTTTTCGAGTTCTTCTAGAATCACTTTGCATTGGTCACACTCATCCAGAGAGTCTGAAAACAGTTCATTTCATTAAATACAATTCTGTGAGATAGAAGCAATTTTAATATGACAATAAAAATTGTTTGTTATGTTATCTACCATATACAAAAAATGCAATATTAAAACAATAAACACATTCACACACATACATCCTACAGCATACGCACAAGTCCACTATAGCTACAGGTGAACGTTACTTAAATTGAGAAATTGGCAACTACTGATGTTTATCACAAAGAAAAAACCTACTTACCAGAGACAACTAAATAAAATACCAGGCATATATAATGCAGGACAGGAAAAATTCATAATACAGTGGATTTGAAAAATTCTAACACAACAAATAATTAAAAATGCAAAGTATGCATCTAAAAATGCAATTTCAAGCACTAATTTTAATTAATTGGATACAGAGGCCATCTTTAAGAAAAAAAAGCATTCAAAGTAAATCAATAACACATTTCCTCCATTACAGCAGTTATACCCCATATACATGCATTATTTATATGCATTTCTTTCAAAACTTTCTTCAATACTATCAACTATACATTTGCTATTCATTTAATTAAATAACTCATAAAGAGATTTTATGGTTGATATTTAAATCGGACAACATTTATTTAAATTGGTATTGTATATAAATATTTGAAGATGACTAGTTAAAAATTCACCCTAGATTAAAACACATGCTAACACCATCACCATTAGATATAAATACTGACATCCCTAGTAAACCAAACTCTCAGGGCTCTAACTCACTTTTCCCATGCTAGGAAGTTCATTTGTGTCATAAGGGGTCCATAAAACCATTACCGAAACTAACCCACATTCGCACCAGCAAATAATTAGTTAAAAGATTTTTAATTCTTATGGCTGAAATTTAACAGCCTTCAAAGAACTAAATGTTACAATTTTTTAGGATAATCAATCAATTTATCTAATTATTTACTGATATTGTTACCTTCTACTCTACCCTTGACAACACAACTAATTGAACAAAGGTTCTGGAAGGGGTAACAAGGCTAGAGATACCCTCAAATTGCCCTTCTGAGCCAGTATTGTTGCCTTCTTCCCCTTCCGTGACCTTATGTTGTTCAGCATCTTTCTTATGTCGTTTGCGAAATGCCTTCGAATTGCAAAGGTCACACAGTGTCTGGTTCCCTACGACAATGGTACAATAGCATACATTCTTTTTCAGAAGATTTCAAAATTCAATGTGCACATGGGGTTTATTTTAAATTCTGCTTCAATGCTGCATGTATATGTTGCTAATCATTAGGCATGTTCACTTAATATTACTTTAAGCTAAGACAAATGCAAAGTTATTTTGCTGTTGGCAAATACACAATATATTAAAAAATTATTCATAATAATACTGAAATAAAATCAGTAATTGCAATGCTAGAACAAAAAGGAAAGAAAACAAATAATGCAAAATTAGTACTAGGGAGCCAAAATGATCAGTTTTTTCTGTCTTCTGGAAATACAGTAAATGGAAAGAACAAAACAAATGGCACTTGTTTTACATTGTCAATAATATTGAATGAAATGATACTTTAAATTTTTGAAAATTGAAATGTTTCCTTTTCAGAGAATGTTAAATAAAAAAAATAATTTAAAAATTAGCAAAAGATTATAAACAAATTGTTGAAATTAAATTACAGTGTTATTCATACCTTAAAGTAATTTTATAACTTAAAAATGTTTTGATAGTAGTGTCAGTTTATGTATAATCTCCGATGGAAAATATACATATTTCTGAAACTTACAGAAATAAACAGCCAAAGAATTTGTGCGATCAATGAGATGGAGCAACTCATCACCCTCCACAGCTTCTATGACATCTCCAGCTGGATTCTTCTGAGTGAGAAGCCAGCTTAGAATTTGTTCCTCATTATATAAATCTCCTGCAATAGTACACATGGACTTAGGTACCTCAAATTGCATGTAGGTATTGCTGTGAATAAGACTTATTTAAAAAACAGTTGAGAGTAGCTACCTGCATAAATGATTGGCTCTTTCGATGTCATCTTGAAGAAAACAACTGCAGGAAGTGCAAAGACACCAAATTCCTTGGCCATAGTCTTATCATCAATTTTAACAAAATTGATACCAGCACCATCTGCTTCATCATCAATATGCTCTAATTCAGCTAGAACACGTCCGCACTGCTTGCAGTCATCACTGTCTGAATAAACAATACAATGAAAGTGTTCATTTCTCATCAGTAAGTATGTGTGGAAAACCAAATCCTACTTTCAAATACTCACAAAAGAATACAGCAACATAATCTGAAGTTTGTCTAATTTTCTGGAACATTTTTCGATTTACTCGTTCTATATGATCAGTGAGTTCCATATTTTCTGGACTTGTAAGCCAATCAAGGATTTCTTCATCATCATCAATATCACCTAGAAAAATAACACAACAAAAATTATGGAACTATCAAGAACTTAAATACGACGTGTAATTTTAGGGTACAAATAGATTATTATGACGTAGAATTATGAAATCATACACTGATCTTGTATGAAAGAAGTAAATAAAGGATATTTCATGACCGAATTTATCAGGAAAATATCAATAATACAAATGGAGGTAATATTGTAATTTGCTCAAGAAAGCTAGAGAATGCATTTTGAAAGAGAAAGGAAGAGAAGGTAAAGTGCAAGGAAGGGGAGAAGAAGAAGAAGAAGAAGAAGAAGAAGAAGAAGAAGAAGAAGAAGAAGAAGAAGAAGAAAAAGAAAGAAGACGATAACAATGACATCATCAAGATTTTCATTAGGGTGATTATTTTTAATTGTAAGTTTAATTTGGTAAGTTGTTCATTCAAGATTATTTTAGATTTTTTAAAAAAGTTTTTCTATGCATATCTTGCTCTCAACTTGTAATGACATCTTGGTTTTGGTTTTTTAAATTTATTTTATATTATAATTTTGTCCTTTTTGAGACCAATTTGTTTTCAATACATATTTAATACATTAAATAGGAATAATTAATTATTGTTTAGAAAAAAATAGATAATTGATAATTTGCAGATACTTTTTCCTCAAAATGAAATTTCCAAATTTTTGTACAATAGTTTAAAGGGAACCTACAAATATGTTGTGAGATTAATATGGAAATACATTCTTATATAAAATAGTTCCACTTTGCCTCTGTTAAAGGAAAAAGGGGGAAGGGAAAAAAAGGAAAAGGGGGGGGGGGGAAACAGAAAAAGAAAATAGGTTGTCTATGCTATTTGCATTCATTCAATAGTTATGATCATGTTAAAAACTGATTTAACCAATCTATTATATAATGCTGTTTGAAATAGTAAAGTCATAAATATAATTACTTTTTTTAATAACTGAGAAGTAAATAAAATTTATTTTCAATTACAATTTTATTGCTTATTTTAATGTATTGCTTAACCATCATATAATGAAGTCCTGCATATGTTCAAAGATATTTCAATATAAGGTAATGCATTTTTTACAAATCATACATTCAAAATTCTTACCATCATAGTTAATGTATTTTCCTTTGCGAAAGTATGTTATTCCAGGAGGATTTCGGTAACCATATTTTTTAGCCATGAATCGATCCTGGCATTTGACAACTTTAATACCATACTGACTAGCTTCATCATCAATGAGCTCAACATGCCTCAAGACTTTAGGAGATTCTGGATTCTCTTCGCTGTCTGCAAGAGAAAGAGGAATATTTTGACTTCTAAAACAATTTTATTTGAATTAATTTTTTTTTATCACGGGAACTTCAGCAATCAAAAAAGGATTGTACAAATATTAAACATTAAGGAAATTTTAATTTATTTCTTTTTCACCTTATCTCATCCTCAAGATTATTATTGTCAAGGCAAAATTATTGTTAGTAGCACTAGGAAATATAAACCGAATAAATATAGATATCACTTACAGAAAACAACTGCGAGAAATTCCTTAGTTTCGATGTACTTGAAAAGTTTTTCACGATCAATTTCTTCAATACTCTCATCATTCTTCTGATCAATTATCCATTCCAAAACATCATGTTCATCTAACAGGTTGCCTAAATAAACATTGTCCATAGCACATATGATTTTGGAGGAAATATGATGTATCACCTGTCCACATTCATTTGAATCTACATTTTTGATTTGCTGCTGAGAAATGACTAATTAAGTACTTAATTTAATTAAATATTTAGTCATTTACAAAATTTGCATTTTAATGCTGAAATAATACATTTTTAACCAAACTAATTGATAAAAAAGTGTAGTTCTGAAATGGCTTATTTTCAACTAAAACTATGAATGTTAGTTGTCTTCCATATTATATTATAATATGAAAAATATTTTGTACAAAATTAATTAAAGAGACAAAGCAAGTACCTGGAGTTAATATCTAAATGAATTGTTGAGAACCTCCTTCAGTCTTCAAGATTTCTTGGTATTGAATTACATTTAGAATCAATTTAATCATGTAACACTGTGATACATGAAGAACATAATTCACTGTATATTAATGAGGAAAAAGCAAATGAACAAAAAAAAAAACAACTTATTTTACAAATACTACTTGAAAATTATGAATGAACAACTTACCAAGGTACGAGTTATATGTTTAATTGAAATGAAAAATAATAAAGGTGGTTGAAAATACTTCATGGGGAAAAAAGTATGCGTAATAATGTGAGTACACATAAAATGTTTAAGTGTATATTATTTAAACAATCGCAAGAAACAATATTTCATCATGGCAATAAGTTTAAAGTTCACATTTCCATATTTTTGATACAATTTTTTCTCTCTCAAAGGTTCTAACGTGATATAACGATATTAGAAAGTCTAAAAAATATTTATAAAAATAATTGATTAACAGTTTTTAAGTATTTTAATTCAATATAATAAATATACTCACAACATTTATTCACTCAAAATATGTATAAGGCAGAATAGGTTCAAAAATCACTGTACATAGCTTGAGGAAAGCACAGATAAATGTCATACTAATGAGCAAACAACATATAAGAAAGGATTTTGTTGAATTATTGCTTAAATACGTACACTACATCATAAAAATTCTACATAGGCAGTTATGAATGTATTGAGAGGAACATTAATGACTGAAAACCGGTAGCAGCTGATACTGGTAGAATGTGGGCTAATCATCGTAAGCAGGCAAGGTCAACAGAAAACTGATGTGAACACGCAGGAGGGCCAAGTTATTTCACACCAACAATTCTTTGGAATTAAAATGCAATATTTAGATGTCAGTCAATGATATGCTATTTTATAAGTAGTTTGTGTATAATATTTGATTTGAGAACATATAAAAAGAAAGAGAAAGAGAAAGTTAGGAAAATACATTGTATTGAGCCTCTTGGTTGATCACAGTTGTGCAATTTGTATTCATGCTAACATGCTGCTCATTACTTTATAGTACATATTATTCTTTGGCAGTATTCAAGTTCTTTGGCAAGATTTACAGAAAGAGTTAAGGTACACTATTCTACGTTCTAATTATAGCCTGTTTTTATGAGTAATCCATACATATTACTCACTGAGGCTAGTAGTTAATGAGTATTGTCATCACGTGAAAATCCTTCTATAAATCTTGCAACAATAAGCAAGAAAATTACAAATACTGTCATTAATATTTATATATACAGTCAAATATTATCATATGCAGCAACATATGCAATATACACAAATAAAAATACAGACATGATGAATCATGATTTCTGAAACGTATAATGCCTTGGGCACAATTACAATGGACAATAACTGGAAATATTTTTGATATTCTGTTTCACCTTCAATTTGTAAATTAACTCATTTTCACAGAAGTAAAATGTATCAATGCAAACAACGAAAAATAAGAGGAATCAAATTTAATGAAAATGAAAGGAGGCATTCTAACTTGAGTAATAAGTATTTCCAATAATTAGGATAATTTAGTCAAATGAATGTTAATGGTAAACATCAAATAAATAAGATTATTAAGATGTAGAGGGTGACTGCGAGTGGCTGAGTTGTTTGTCCAAAGAGATGGCAATGCTTATTAAGGAACAGAACAAGAATAAGACACCCCTTCCCTCCCAATTCCCTTTCAGTGCATAGAGATCACCCAACATGTCAGTCTGGCACAAACACACGACATCAAGCTGTTCATTCTTTGATTCAGAATCCACAGTACCGGAAAGAATAGACTGGTTGCATTTTTGCAAAGTTTTCTTTGATGAGTCACAATGACTTCACATGTGCTCGTAGCTCACAATTTAGCACATGCAAGGAAAGGTTTTCCCCTTTCTTTAACACATAAACGATCATTTTTCACTATGATCATGAACATAGCTGGTATTAACGTTGGATAACGAACACAATAACTTTGAATTGCTTTCACTAAAATAATTACCACCACCAAACATATTTACCACTTTCATCTAGAACCTTTCTTCCTTTCTTTGGCTTGTCTGCTGATGGGTTAGGAGGGAAGGAATAGCCTTTATTGGACCCTTTAGTTGGCTTGCTGGTTGTGCTGTCAGAACGGCTCTTGCTGCTGCTTGAACTGGAGAATGGCTTTGAGGGCGGTGCACCTTTGGCTTGTGGCGTAGGCTTTTTACCAGCAGTTGACTTTGCTCTCGTGGCTGCAGAGGCGCTGGGCCTGGCACTCTTTGAGCTCTGCTTGCTGGGCTTGCTTGGACAGCACTGGTAGGGCTGATAGGAATGGGTGGGGACGGTGCTTTTCCCTCCAACTCCAATGTAGAAACAGCCATCGCCTGCAGCAAATTAAGTCAACATTGTGTCAGTGTTCAGTTCCCCCATGGTTCAAAGTTAATGCGAATCTGATATAATTATAATTTATTTGCACCAGTACAGTTTTTGCAGTCATGAAAAATATGAACTACAATTTCATAATGCTACTAAAGAACAAAATAAATTTCATTTTGTTATTTTAAAATTAAATTTAAAAACTGATATGTAAAATATGCAGCTTGACTCAAACATAGAGTTGTTAGTAGTTTTGTATTTACAAAAGAAAAAATTCCACACCATGTGCATTCTTGATAGAAAAGAAAGAAAAAAATATCAAGAGTGAATGACTGCAAACATTGGGAATGTGAAAAAGAGCTCTGTAACTCATTCAAGCTGCCTAGCTGAAACTGTGTTTATTTAACCTGCTGCAGACGACAACTGTTAGGCCCTGCGAGTGCCATGCAATTTTTCCCAAAACATGCAAATTGGCTGCTGTTATCCCAGTAAACTTACAATTTTCACACAGCCATTCTACACAACAATTAAAAATTTATGCAGAAAAATTTATGGTTAAACAAGCAAATTTAAATTTCTTTTATGTTTGGAAGGAAATATATGACATATGCCAGGGCATGCATTTAACGTATTCTCACTACATTTTGGGAAAGACTATCAGAGAGGTTATTAGTAGAATTACCAATATTTCAAGAATTTTATAAACAATAGTTTGTTTATAAAATTGTAGAGATAAAGGAAAAATGTTCACTATTGTGCATTTTCAGACTTTGATAAAAAATAGGGAGTATGTGATAATATTTTGATAATATCAAGCAAATATCCAAGTGCTTTGAAAAAGGTTGTTAGGAAATATGTTGTTCTTGTAATTATAGTTAGAAAATTGATACATTTTAATTAAAATATTCAAAATTGTAGGCTGATGCAGGTCCATAGATTGGGTCTTGAATCCAAATGTCAATCACTGAAATTTATAACAGAGCAAAGTGACATCACATTTTTAATGAAATTACCTCGTTGAATATCAATACGTTTATCATCATCATCGTCGTCGTCGTCATCATCATCATCATCATCATCATCATCATCATCATCATCATCATCATCATCATCGTCGTCGTCGTCATCGTCGTCATCTGTGTAAAATTAGTTATTAACAAATACATGCATATAGAGCAAATAAGCTAGAAATCTGAATACAATATCACATTTACTGTTTGTAAAACAAAATATTGTTTACAGTATGATAATATGAAAATAAAAATGTTTCTAACGTATGAATTTTAGAGGTAGGCACCGCAGTATAGCCTCATATGTGAAAATTGAATTAAAACCTAATTTGGATTAGGTCTTGTTCAGTGAACATAAACAATGTTGCTCAATGATGTTTCATCAGCTTCACTATTAGAACTTTTAAATATAAGGTATACAGAAAGAGGTGGAAATTGTGAGAAAATATTTGTAATATCAGAAACCAGGAAAAAGTGATATTGTAAACAAATGTATGGCATAATTGAACTCAAGAACACTTCAGACTTAAAGCTTTATTAATAATCAACAAATCAGTTTCATACAGCTGGTCAGTATTGTATAACAACTACAAAACAAGGCTTAAGGTACAATATACAGGTATGAGGTACAATCTACAGGTACAAACCAAGGAATTAAACTACTTTAACAAGGCATTAATAAAAACAACTACAATAGTGCACAAACATATACAAAATAGAGAGGAGCTTGGTGTGAGGATGAGAGGGACATCAATAAATAATGCATAAATCTCTCTTTAACAAACTGTGTGTGCCAACCTCTAAAATTATAAAATGAAAATATTTATCTAATTCTATTTTGTACACTTGTTCCAGTGCTAAAAGTTAAATAAATATAGATATAAAAATAAAGATACAACAAAATAGATATTACAAAGTTATTTACAAAGAGAAGAATATTAAGGTAAATTCTCTTTTTGTGAGAAGAAATTAGAAAAAAAAAGTAAATTCACAAGTTCTTCTTACTTTTCTGGTCTTTTAGCCATTTCAGAACTTTGTCCTCATCCCTAAGATTACCTAGAAATGGAGCAAACATTGAATTAAAATATTCATTGTTATCAATTTGATGCCAGTAAAATTTATACTGGAATATCTGGAATGGTAAAGAAAGTCTTTGGCAAATATGTTTTTTATGTATTAATGATAGAGATGTTAAGTAAAATGTAGTTTCAAATGAAATGATGGCCCATAAAAACTAAAATACTGAAATTTAAATTTTAAGTTAGACAAGGAAAACAACTTCACTGATACAAATCATAATATTGATATCAAGAAATATAATCAAAAAATGATATTTTAAAAATACAGTTTTTACACAGGACTGTGTAAAATTTATTTCTTAAAAAATTGTGAGCAATTTTTTGTCAGTATAAAAATTTCCAGTTGTAATGAAAACATATACTTCATGACTTACCACTGTACATTATAGGAACACCTGTTTCATAGTATACCAATGCAGGAAAACTAAAAATACCAATCTCTGATGCAAGTTTTGAATCTTTTGATTTAACAAATTGAATTCCTTCCCTATCAGTATCATCATCAATAGTCTCCAAGTCTTCCAAAATTGACGGACAAGTTTCACACTTGTCATCATCTGCAGAAACAAAGAACAGTTTTAAAAACATGTTTATTTTATTTTTGATAAAATCATGAAAAAGCTATCTGACATTTCTAAGTCAAATGGTTGTAAAATGCAATTGAATGATATTATGTTTGTTTTTAGACAACCACTAGTAAAAGCAGGTCTTTCATGACATGCAGAGCATGCTAAAAATTCATTTTTTAGCACCAGTGCTAAAAAATGCGAGATGATGTTCAAGTGTTCAGATAAATTCTGTGAATGCAACAAAGAAAACAAAATACTTTCATCTGACTGCGACAGCTACTTCTAACCTTAATGTATCATTAAGGTATTTGTATACTTGAATAAAGAGAAAATGAGAGTGAGTAAAGCTGCCTAAAAAATAGTGTATGGCACACTTGGTAAAAGTGATTTTATTTTGCTCATAGAATTGTGCCACTTGACCTATTGGCATCATGTAGCAACCCTTCCTACTCACAAAATAAATCATCACTTTTACCACTTGAATCATAAATATCTATTTTATTAATTGAAATATTTTATTTATTTATGCTTTTATCTTAGAAATATTGATGTATACAAAAGTTCTTAAATTAATACTGTATTTAAAGTATACATTTTAGATAAATTTAGAAAGTATCTTTTGCATACATGGGAATTAAGTGAATAAAATGCAGCAATTTACAATTGTGTGCCAACTTACAGAAGAACACAGCTAAATGTTCCACTTCTTCAATCAACACCTGCAATGTCTTACGATCAACATTCTCTATTACATCTGGTTTAGATTCATGGAGGTCTAACACCCAATCCAAGATTGCTTCTTCATGCATGAGATCCCCTGTAAAAAAGGTCAAGATAAAACATATTAGATCTTCTGTATATATTACTGAGTGAACAATTGAGCAAAATTGTAATACTGTATTATAAGATTTGGAACTGAAAGTAGACTGTCATATCTATAGCGACCACTTCTCTGGTTTGTTATAGAGCTTCTCAGGCTCTGGGTTATTATCTTCAGGCTGGAATATATTTTCAATACTTCTATATTATTGTGCATTTGAAAGAATAATTATAACAAGAGGTGTATAACAGTTACCTACTTCATTGGTTGAATAATAATATAATTTTAATTTTTAGTTAGAGTAAAAGAGTTTTAAAAAAACGAGAAAAGTAGGGCGCTCCGATCCGACTGACCTCCACCACTGGGCTGAAGATTGAGCTCTAACCGATCCAAATGAAATCTGTGGTAGTGAAAGAGAGGTTGTTCTTTATCCCATGTCCTCTGCCTGTCATTCTATTTCCTTTGGCATTGCTATCACCACTGCACTGTGCCGAATTAATATTTTCAGAGACCGTAGGAGTGACCAGGGTCGCCCAGAAGAGGGGAGGGCGATTTATTCCCATATGTTCTGCACTCTAAAGTGTATTGCTGAACCAGAGGCAGCGGCCAGATGTTGGCGTGGCGTGGCGGGGCGGGGCGGGGCGGCACTTCTCCCCTGCCGAGAAGACGGCGCGGAGCAAGGAGGGGAGGAGCGATGTGGCAGGTGGCATTAGGTGATTGTGACAACTCCTGCCCTATAAAGTGAATCTTTTTAAGTGGTCAGCACATTTCTGAGTCCACGAGTCCCGTTGAGAAGGACGTTCGAGAATTAATTAAAAATATTCATGTTATAAGGCGGAGTTTGTAACAATGACCTAATGTCATCGGCCACTTTAAAAAATCGATAATAATAATAATAATCTTTAAATAATCGATTCTTGGTACGTCTCTCTCTCTCTCTCTCTCTCTCTCTCT